GGGAAAGATTTACTGTATAAAACTATGCACTTGAGGTTCCAATCTACTGGATATGGAAACTGGAAATTATTTTCGAAGCACTGACTATTGCACTCTAAAGCAATAGTTTTCAAGTAACAGCAGCAGCAAAACCCCTTTACTACTGTTAAATTTGCTGATACTTGAGTAGTGAGGTTAGGAATAGGATCTCACTTCTGTAATGGTTACTTCTGTAAGATAGAGAAGGCGTAAAGCTAACCAGTGGGTCCTGCTGTATTGTTCTCCGAAGCAAAGAGGAAAGAAGAGATTATAGCAGGTTTCACCCAAGAGTAACAGTAGTGTCACAAAATGTAACATTTCGTTTAGCTTCCAGGAAAAAAGACAACAAAACTTTGGGTCCCAGATGAAGAAGTATCTCCTGAAACACTTGTTAAAGTAAGTAGCACTCACTATATTTTTCTGTGCTTGTGTGTATAGTACTTAATAAAGTTAAATATCTGGATTCCTAAAGCTTTCAAATGCTTTTCTGTGTTTCTTTGTCACCTTTCTAAAGGCAGAAAAACGTTACTATTTTAAAACTGAGGATTTTGCCAGAATACACAGTTTTGGATTGCCAGAGAAAATAATTTGCTTTGGGGAACCTTTTTTTTGCTTTTAGTTTTGTAGATAAATTTACATATACACTTTATTAAATTTTTATTATAGCTTATTATAGGCTGAGATTTGGTGTGCAACACTTAAGTATTCCACATATTATCACAGTTAAAGTAAAATTACTTTTTTCCCCTCCTGTTGAACATAGGAGGTAAATACCATAGAGACTTTGTCTGGTCTACCTTCTTTCTCTTGAATTTTTAGGACATTCCAAGGAACTTTCAGTGCTGTTTTGTAATAAAGAAAAAATTGTTCTTGGATTTGTCAGTTTCCTCAAATGAATAAATGTTTTAGATTGCTTTTCTCTGTATACAGTGTGTATTGGAGAAAAACCTAGTTTTAAAAAAAGAGAATCACTTTAAAACGGTGGGATTTTTGTTGTTGTGTTTTTTTGGGGTTTTTTTTAGCTTAGAAAAGTAATCTCAAACTTGTTCTTTTTTTGGAGTAAGCTTATTATTATGATTTCTGGGCTTGATAATAGATGTTCTCACTCAATTTGTCACTCAATCAGAAATAGATTTATACAGTGGAAAATACCTCCTATGTCTGTATTTGTTTTTAAATGCCCTTTCTTCAGAACACAGGGCTAGATTATGCTTTCACAGTTTCTTTCAGAATTAGAAAGCTGCATGTACTTTATAGCATGCTGTTTCTAAGTTAATTATAGCAGTCATTTAATTTCCAATGCCTTTTGAATAAAGTTGCTCTAATGGTTTTAAGAAGTTGTTGTTAAACTCTTTGTAGCATAATACCTCCTTCTCTGCTGGTTTAATAAGTACTTTGATTTCCAGCCTGGTACAGAACTCATTACTGGAAATGCTCAGTTGTGTTTGGAGCTGATTCGTTAGCTTTTTATTCATTTGACTACAGCAAGGATATTTTTTGTATTTGTGCCATTCCGTAGTTACACAATACACTCCAAAAACTGTTTAAAGAATGTGTATTTGTTTTGATTTCATGAACTGCTAGTTTAAAATAGACATGATTTCACTTTGGTGATTATACATGTGACTTGAAGTAGTAAATATTAATTGATTTTCTTAATTTTTTTAGCGATTCATGAAGCTGTAATATCTCTTGAAAATGTGTTTTGGTGTTGATAAAAATTATCAACTGGCTTATAGAAAACTTAAGGCAACTTAAAGTTGAAGCCAAGCCTGAAAGCTGTAAGAAGCATTTATTGGCAAGTAAAAACAGGTTATAGTATCTTCCGCCCTAACATATCATAGAATCATAGAACGGCTTAGGCTGGAAGGGACCTCAGAGATCATCTAATCCAACCTCCCTGTCACGGGCAGGGACGCCTCTCAACTAGATCAAGCTACTCAAGGCTCCGTCCTACTTGGCCTTGAACACCTCCAGGGAGGGGGCATCCACAACCTCTCTGGGCAATTTATTCCAAAGTCTTACCACCCTCGTACTGAATAATTTCTTCCTAAGATCTAATCTAAATCTGTTCTCCTTCAACTTAAACCCATTTCCCCTTGTCCTATCAGTGGACACTCTTGTAAAAAGTCCCTCCCCAGCCTTCCTGTAGGTTCCCTTGTAGACTGTTACATCGGCCTTTGTTTTCAGTGCTAAAACTTAAATGAAATTATGTCTGCAGAGAAATGTTTCAGTGTAGTATTAAATATGAATTGGAATATGAAGTGGACATTGCTTCACTTTTCTCTACTGCACATTGTCTGTATGTTCTGTGATATTCCTACAGCATTTGTGGCTCTGAAAACTCAAGTAGTAGAAACCTGAGCTAGCTGTTCTCATAATGTTGATGAAGCTGACCTTCCTTTGAGCAGGAGATTGGACTGGAGACCTCTTGAGATTCTTTCCAACTGGAATTATCCTTTGATAGTTTACCTATTTGGCTGCAAAGAAAAAAATTAAAACATGAGGGCAGTGTGAACTCATATGTTTAAGTCTTCAGGTAGCCAGAAGCAGTGACTGGGGGGAAACTTATGCCCTGTACTAATTTCATAGGAATGCTTAATTCTGAAGGGTTGCTGGAATGTTGTCACAACATCATTAACACCAGCAAAGAAACAGGGGACATACTGGGGTCAGAGGAAAATTCTGAAGGAGCTGAGGTTAGGACTTGCTACATGGAAGGAAAACTAGCGTAGCTTTGAACAGTAAAATTGAGGGAAGGGAGTTGTGGAAGGTGAATAGAGAAGCAAGGGTTAAAATTGAAATTGCTCAGGAGCTGATATAGAGGCACAAGTTAGCATGTGGCTGTTCCCTGGCTGAATACGTCATTTACTTGAAGACCAAATAGAGCTAGCATGTTTCTGTCCTCCCAGAGACACTAAGGGTACAGGTGCTGGTTAGGACCCAAAGAAACGGAATTGGTAAGCTGTAAAAAGATCTGCTGCTATTATTATATTTTTATTGCTATTAAAATCTGGTGGATAGTTATAGCTATGTCAGTGGAAGACCCTTTGAAAGCTAGGGCAAGACAGTTTCATTTTTGTTCCACAAACTCCATTTGCATTTTGAGTTCTTGAGTGGCAGACATTCTACCTCTTGCTGATGTTATCCAACAGAACTAGAATTCTATGTGTGGAGTAAATGGGCTACAGTGCTAAAAAATCAACTCACGTATAGATGACAGTTCTAGAACTTATCTCTGAAGGGACCATTGTAATCAGTTTGTTGCACGGAATCAATCAACTGTATGATGAACTTCATTCAGTGATGTTGTGAATGTTTATATTAAAGTTATTAGAACTGCCTTTTCCATTAAGGAGAAAATTTAATGTTACTATGTACAAAAAGTGCTAGCTGCTTTTCCACCATACCTTAGTGTTTCCAAAGCTTTTAGGTTTTGTATATTGAACTTCAGAATTTGGTGTTTTGGTTTTTTCTTTTTTTTTTTCCCCCAAGGATGTCTGACTTTTATTTGTGCTGATAAATGCTTGAGACTTTCACTGAAAAGTTGCCGTCTAGTGAGAGTGCATCTATTTATCTTTCAGTATTTAAATTATATTTTTCAGTTTCGACAGGCTTATGTTTGTAGCAGCAAAACACGTGGAAAATACAGTGTGATGAAATGAAGATAAAGTTTATTTAAAGAATGAGGCTCGTGGTGTCATTTGGCTTTGGCATATCTTTTTTTTTTCAGATTCAGGCCATCAAGATGATGGTTCGATGGTTGCTAGGAATGAAGAACAATCACAGCAAGTCAGGAACTTCTACTCTGAGGTTGCTAACAACAATATTACACAGTGATGGAGATTTAACAGAGCAGGGGAAAATTAGGTATGTAACAGATGGTAATGTTTTTCAATGTTGTGACGCGGTGGGGAGAGTTTGTCAAAGTAGTACTTACACTATTCTGTTAGACTGCTTAACTGTTTATACTTCTTTTTTTTTTTTAAGAACTAACGGTAGGCGTGGCTGGATTCCTGCATAAATTTGCTGAGTCAGATATTTTTAACACTGTAGATATAGCTGTTTTTTAATGTTTTTATCATCTTCTGTTATATCCCTTTCTTCAAAGGGCCGTTACTCATATTGCAAGAATAAACTGTGTAATTTCTTCTTTCCCATTGAAAATTTGTTTTTATTTTTTATGCAACTTGCTCTTCCTGATGTACCGATTGTTGAGTATGCCAAAGGCCAATGGACAGGCTTTCTAATAAAAAATACTAGCATGTTGCAGTAAACCAGGTGGGAATAGCTAGTACATGAGGCACTTCTGCTTGAAGGTAGACTTTAATTCCTTGAGGCCTCTAAAAGTGAAAGGAAGAGGGAAATGTGTAAAGAGGATTAAGTCTGAATAAATAATTTATCTTTTAGGTGATTGTTAGACAATTTATTTGTTTTTCTGGGTATCTTCTTAATCCTCTTTGGTAGTAGAAGTGACAAGTTGTCAGCTACTATTGTTTGCCAAACATTGGAAATTTATGTCTACAAAAGACGTTAAGGGCAGGGGTGGATAGTACCAGTATAAGTAAAAGGGTTTTAATTTTTGGGTAGAGTTTAATGTTATACAGTCATTGTGCAGATAGAACCTATGTTGTGTGTGCAAAGTTGCAAACCTGAGAGTTGTCTAGTGTGTTTTCTTTGTAGCAACTGTGTAGTCTTTCTTAAAGCTCCTTGTAAAGAATTGTTTTATAGTTGTAAATGTGGTGTTATATTCTGTAATATGACCATTCGTGGTGGATACTGGGGAGTTAAGTGGCAGTAATTTAGCTTTTCGGCATAACTGCTCAGAGCATATTATTGGCTTATGCAGTAGTTTGTGAATAGATCAGTTCTGTGGGTCCCATGTGTTTTCATGCTCAGAGTAATCATTTCTTACTGTGCATGTTTTAAAAATTTAATTTTCCCACTCCTTTTTTTGTACTCAAAACTGTAAATAATAATAGAAACGATATATAATGATGTGGTTGTTTCTCCATTATTAAAGTTAATGGAGGGCTGAGGATACTTCTAGGGGAGGGAGAACGCTGCAATGACATAGAATCATAGAATGGTTAGGGTTGGAAGGGACCTGAAAGATCATCTAGTTCCAACCCTCCTGCCATGGGCAGGGGAACCCTCCACTACACCAGGTTTCCCAAAGCCTCATCCAACCTGGCCTTGAACACTTCCAGGGATGGGGCATCTACAACTTCTCTGGGCAACCTGTTCCAGTGCCTCACCACCCTCAGAGTGAAAAATATCTTCCTTATATCTAATCGAAATCTCCCCTCTTTCAGTTTAAATCCATTGCCCCTTGTCCTATCACTACACGCTCTTGTAAAAAGTCCCTCTCCAGCTTTCCTGTAGGTGCCCTTTAAGTACTGGAAGGCTGCAATAAGATCACCCTGGAGCCTTCTCTTCTCCAGGCTGAACAGCCCCAACTGTCTCAGCCTGTCTTCATAGGAGAAGTGCTGCAGCCCTCGGATCATCTTTGTGGCCCTCCTCTGGACCTGCTCCAGCAGCTCCATATCCTTCTTGTGTTGGGGAAGACATGTGACATGTGAGGTTGCTCTGTGTTAAAAGCAGCCCTTCAGCCTCAGATCGTGAAGCTCTGCCTGGGGATGGATGATGAGCCAACTGAGAGCTTATGGGTTAGGACTGAAGAGCAGACTGGTGTGGGTGACGCCATAGTGAGCGTCTGCTGTCGGCCCCCTCACCAGCAAGAAGAAGCGGATGAGGCCCTCCATAAACAGCTGGAAACAGCTCCATGTTTGCAGGCCTTGACCCTCATGGGGGATTTCAGCCACTGGAGGAGCAACCCAGTAGCGCGTAAACAATCCAGGTGCTTCCTGGAGAGCATCAAAGACAACTTCTTGAATAAGTGATAGAGGACTGTTGTGGTTGAGCCCAGCAGCAGCTCAGTCACCAGGAGGTCGCTCGTTCACTCCTCTCCCTCAGTGAGGTGGAGGGGAGGAAAATGTAACAAAGGCCTGAGGGTCGGGATAAGAACAGGGAGGGATCACCCACCAACCATGGCCCAGGGCAAAACACAGCTTGGGGACAAATCAGTGTAATTCGTTAACAGCTCATTCAGAAAGGATAACAAGAAAGGAAGACAGATCTCAAAAACACCTTCCCCCACCCCTCCCTTCTTCCCAGCTCTACCCCCTCCCCCAGTGGTGCAGGGGGGCAGGGTATGGGTGGGTTGCAGGTCAGTTCATCACACGTTGTTTCTGCTGCTCCTTTCTTAAAGCAGGAGGACTCCTTACACTCTTTTCCCCTGCTCCAGTGGATCACCTCCTCACAGGACAGTCCACAGACTTCTCCAGCATGAGTCCTTGCTGCAGGATGCAAACCTTACCCATCAGATTGCTCCAGCACAGGCTTCTTCCCCACAGAGTCCACAGCTTCTTAGGGAACTGCCATCTGCTCCACCATGGGACATGCCCCCCGGCCTCATCGTCAGCCTTCAGCAGCTCATGAAGACCATTCTCTACGACTTCCTTCAGGCACAGGCATCTCTGCTCCAGTGTGGGCTTCTTCAAGAGCTGCGGGTGGGTGTCTGCTCCACCGTTAATCTCCACGGGCGACAGGGCGGCTTCTGCCATCTCACCACAGGTTCTCACACAGGGGAATCTCAGCTCTGGCACACCTCCTCCTGTTCCATCGTCACTGTCCTTGGCGTCTGCATGGCTGTTTCTCTCAGGTCTCAGTCCTCTCAATGAACCTGAGTCCTGGCAAGGTGAACTCCTCCCAGCAGGTTCCCCAAAGCGAGGTGCTTCAGAGCTCTCCAAGCCGCACCGCTGCAGCCATCTCCAGGCGGGTAGCGGTGGCCCAGCATGGGCAGCCGCCTGCCCGGGAGGCCTGGGGGCCAGTCCCCCACCTCCCTACTCTCTTCAGTGTAGGTCCAGCCTCCCTGTGGGCTCCTTTGTCCCCATCTTAAACAGTGCATTGGCAGAGGCACTTATTGGCTCAGCCCTGGCCTGAGGGGATGGGGAGGTCTGAGCTGGCCAGAGGCTGATCCCACCAGTTTTGGAGCCAGGAAGCTTTTCACAGCTACGGACAGGGGCCATTTCCACAACCCCTCCTGTGCTGCCAAACCCCATCATGTAAAGCCAGCACATTAAGCTTTCTTTTCATAGCTACTTACAGGGGCCATGTCCCCAACCCCGCCCGTGCTACCAAACCCCATCACCTGAACTCAGCACCTTAAGCTTTTCACAGCTACTACAGGAGCAGTTTTCCACAGCCCCTCCCATCAATCCAGCACAAGGAGTCAATGAGAAGAGGTGCTCTACTGGACCTCATACTCTGCAACAAGGAGAGACTTGGGGGTCTGAAGGTTGAAAGCGGCCTTGGCTGTAATGACCATAAGATGGTGGAGTTCAAAATCCTGAGGGCAGCAAGGAAGACAAAAAGCAAGATCACGGTGCTGGATTTCAGGAGAATGTACTTGGGCCTCTTCAAGCATCTGCTTAGTAAAGTCCTATTGGATAAGGTCCTGGAGGGAAGAGGGACCCAAGAAAGCTAGTTAGCTAGTATTCAAGCGTCATCTCCTCTAAGCTCAGGAGTGGTCAAAGCAGAAGGTCAGGCAAATATTTCAGCAAGCCTGCATGGATGAGCAAGGAGCTCCTGGCAAAACTCAAACACAAAAAGAGAAATTGAGAACAGCCCTGTGGAGAAGGACTTGGGGACACTGGTGAATGAAAAAATTGGACATGAGCTGATAATGTGCACTTACAGACCAGAAAGCCAACAGTATGCTGGACTGCATAAAAAGAAACGTGGCTAGCAGGTTGAGGGAGGTGATTCTCCCCCTCTATTCTGCTCTCATGAGACCTGGAGTACTGTGTCCAGCTCTGGAGTCCTCAGTACAAGACAGACATGGAGCTGTTGGAGCAGGTCCAGAGGAGGGCCATGAAGATGGTCAGAGGGCTGGAGCACCTCTTCTATGAGGAAAGGCTGAGAGAGTTGGGGTTGTTGAGCCTGGAGAAGAGAAGGCTCCAGGGAGACTTTATTGCATGCTTTCAGTGCTTAAAGAGGGCCTACAAGAAAGATGGGGAGGGACTTTGTAGTCGGGCCTGTTACAATAGGACAAGGGGCAGTAGTTTTAAACTCAAAGACAGTAGATTCAGATTAGCTATAAGGAAAAATTTTTTGCAGCGAGCATGATGAAACACTGGTGGAGTTTGCCCAGAGAGGTGGTAATGTCTCATCCCTGGTCACCTTGGACGGGGCTCTGAGCAACCTGATCTAGTGGAAGATGTCCCTGCTTACTACAGAGGGATTGAACTAGATGACCTTTAAAAGGTCCCTTCCAACCCAAACTATTCAGTGGTTCTGTGAGGTATACAGAACGTGGAAGTAGGGACAGGTAACCTGGCAGGAATACAGAGAACACCATCTGAGACACAGTTAGGAAAGCCAAAACCCAGCTGGAATTGAACCCAGTGAAAGATGACAAAGGCAATTAGAAGAACTTCTTTAAGTAAATAGGTGACAAAAGGAAGACCAGAGAAAATGTGCATCTGCTGCTGAATGAGGTAGGAGCTCTGGTGACACAGAACATGGAAAAGGTTGAGCTGCTGAATGCTTTCTTCACCTTGGTCTTTACTAGCAAGACTGGCCTTCAGGAAGTCAAGAAAGGGCACCAAGAGACCTGCATGGTTAAATGGGGAACTGTTGGGCAAACTCAAGTTGAAAAAGAGAGTGTACAGATCATGGAAGGAGGGGCAGGCCACTTGGGAGGAATATAGGTCTGCTGTCAGAGGATGTAGGGAGGCAACTAGGAAAGCTAAGACCTCCTTGGAATTAAACCTTGCAAGAAAGGTCAAGGACAACAGAAAGGGCTT